GGGGGGGGGGAGAGGGGGGTGGGAGCATACTCGTTTTGCTCAGACAGAAATTGAATCCAGGGGTACCGGTGACTTGAAAGTATAGAGCGGAAAAGGTCATTTGGTTTTTGCATTCTCTCTCGATGTTTAGAAAAGCATTGATTGCGATAATAACGGTTTCGCAACTTTGTTATCGCTAGGAATCCGTAATCAGATGGATCGAAAAATGGCCCAAATAGGGAATAGGTTAGTGATAGCTCATAAAACGTCGACTGTCGCTTAGTACTTTTAAAGAAATGACCGTATTTTTGTAGAGGTTGATATTCATCAGAATGGGGCATGCACAAACCAATCAGCTGTCACCCTTAGCAACTATAGACAGTTCGCTGAAACCTCATCTGAACACCGTTTACTTATCACACCTCATCCAACCTTAGAAATGACTGAAATGACTTAACGATTTGGAATTGCAGAAGATTTTCCCGTTTTCTTCGCCATAGAATAAATATACTGCGCCAATACCTTCCCCCAACCGTCATTCAACACCTCGATTACACCTGGAAAGAACATCAGAGATGTTGTTGAGCGTAAAAGAACTTAAGGAACCACTCCGTTTTCCCTTTGCATCGCCTTCATCAGATTCATTCGAAGCTGCTCCTTCCACAAACCACAGCTGTATCCATGGTCAAACCCAGGCAACATTCGTTACAGCTGCTTACTCCTATTCAGTGCTATAAGCGCGAAGTGGTGTCATTATCGACTGTCCGGGCCATATAAGAATGACTCCTGAATGATGGATGGGAGTGTGATTTCAAGAAATGTGCAGAGCGGAACATACAAATTAGCTCCCATACAAATACAAAGGATATAGAATAATGGTCACCTGAATAAAGCTCTTCAAACGATTTTAGACTGAACTGATGAGCTTTGCGAGTTGGTTCCTCAACGAGGTTGGCATCACAACTGTTGAAGTCACTGAACGGTAGCGGAACGGGTTCGACCTTGCCGTCCTGTGCAGCGAACAGGGCCAGTCCACTGGGGAAAGTGCACGCGGTGGGCGGTGATGTGTCAGCGTCAACGCGTCGATACATGCACTTTGAGTATGTCTGTAGCTGTGCGCCAACGAGGCTTTACATGACCAGACTTGTAAGCCCCACTCACTAGTTGTCCCTCGCCACCAACCTCACCTTTATCCGGGTGAGCAAATTGTAGTCAGGTGCAGTCCAAAGCTGGCAGTACTGATAATTTATCTACAACCAGCTGCAGTTATCGCATATTCCATTTCCTTTATGAATTCTCTTGCACACCACTTATCCATCTTCGCGATAATTTATTCACAGTAGAGCCGCTAGCGTCCTTTTCCAATTGCACTGTACCTGCTATTTCTTGAGTCGCTCACTCATCGACGACATTGCCTTTCATAAACATCTGTGAAGTGATTTTGCTTGAATATCGCGATAATTCTTGCTTCAATCTCCCGATTACTCTTACTAATTATGTTTTGCTGAGGAGGATTTCTCTTTCTTTAAGGATGTATATTGTAGATGAACTTTGTGCCTTGTTGTTAAGCTTGTTATGTTTCACAAACTGTGCTTTGGCACATTGCAGGACTCGCCGTAGCTAGTCGCTAGTCATGCCATCTTAAGTTAAGAGTAACAAATTGAAGTTAGTGTAGCATAAAAATTCAATAAGCAAATGCATCAAAAAGGCAAAATAACCAATCAAATTAAAGCTGGCTCGTTTCGCCTCTTCACCAAACGAACCACCGTCTCCACCTTCCTCTGAGGCTCATCAGTGGTTTGGGGTTAGTCATAGTCGAACTGTCGATATCGATCGATTACAGGCGTGGTCTACAGCGCGCCGATCAAAGTCTGAATGCAACCTTACTAACTCCCATTTGAGCGTTTTTTAAGTAAATACAGCAACAGCCCTGCAGGTTTTTTTGTTCATTGTGCTATTCAGCACAAACCAACTGAGGCTGTGTAAGCGGACACAAACACCAGCATATACCTTTTTGTCAGGGCTCTGGATCATAGCGATGTCCTTGAGAGCATCAGCAATATCTATCCCACATCAGCAAAGGACGTGCTGAAGTTTAAGAGGGAAATGCGGAGTTGTAAGTATTTCGAATGAAAGAATTTGAATAGATCCGGGTTAAAGCATATGCTGTTTAAGGTCAAATGTTGTAAGTAGTTGCTATAATAGAACATCGCGAGGAAATCCCTGAGATAGTTGTGGCTTTCACACATCATCTTACTCATTGATCACGAAGAATTCGATCGATTTCGTTCTGAACGCGATGACAGCTTCTTTGTAGGCACTTTAGGCATTAAACCACGCAAATCGTTGTTGTTCTCACACCGAAGATATCCAAAGCATTCCATATTAAATTAGTCTTACCATTTAATCAGCTCAGACTTAAGGTGTTGAAGGTCTTTTAAAAGGTGCAGTAGGACCGGGCTAACACATGAGCTCGTCTTGGTTGAGCCCTGTCGCCGTTTTGTCTGAATTCTTCACCAATCAATACAAATCACTGAGGCCACAGGCGGCTACCGCCATGTTTTCTCTCCACTGTTCGTTTCATTTTTTTCTGAATTATGGAGCGATTCATATAGAAGAAAATCAGTAAATCAATCGGTACGGCACGTCAGTTTTACAAAAATTTATTGTTAATCAATGGTGGGGCGGCTAGGGGCTGGCAGTGCATGGCGCGCACTCATTCATACCAGGACCCGTAGCCGAGGATAATGTATGACCAACGTGCCTTGCTGAGTTTTCGTTTTATAAGAGCCTTTTCCTTTCTGTTATATTGCTTGACCGATAACAACATATACGTAATAATCAGTAAATACCCATACGTTGTGTTCAATTTCTGCTTACATCAGTCTAGATGTTATACCTCTTCTCCTCTAAAAAAATGTGCATAGCTTCTTTTCCCGTCGTTAGGACTGTTTCGATGTAGCACCGCTAACACCTAAGCATTACATTAGTTACTGAGCCTTTGCAACTTTTTCCCTGACAATTCAATTTTTCGTTCTGTCGTTAACTTGCAGTCTGCAGATACTTTATGGAAATTCTCAAATGAGGTTAGATTCCATGTCCAGCTTTTCAGTGAAGGGAAAGAAGTCATCTCATAGGTCATTTGAATCATATGCCAACAGTATGCTAGTTGATTCCCTAAAATGTATGATGAAACTGCATAAGATGTAACTCTCTCGAAAGTAGTATTTTATAGTCACACATCATGGACTGGACTATCCACCTCATCACAACAGTGCCTGCATTTTTACTTCTGAATTGTTTTTTTCTCGCCATTGGTGCTTTCATTGGTTCTTCGAATGCGATTTTTCGATTGAATTGTGCAGGCTTCACTTCAAACAGATGTGGCGCAGTAGGAACGAAATAGTCGCGTCGCGGTGAGAGATGCCGCGCGCGAAGAAATGCAGCAGAATACTGTAGCAAATAAGAAATAAAGGAACAAAAGAAATAGCGCTTGAATCATGCCTAAAGTAATAATCGCATAGCGATTGAGCTGTACGAAGAACGCTAGAACTGTTATAACGAGGCAAAAGATCCGCGACAGCCGCGTGCGACAGATCGATTACGCAAAACCGTTCCTACTGCCCGTCTCCCGTCCCGTATCAATGCCCGGTGTCAGCATTTGATCGGGGGTCTCGAATTTATACATTATTCGATGTTGTTGGTTCAGTCCTCAAGGCACAGTTCACGATAATTTTTTGCTACCTGTTTTTATTCGAAAAGCGGAAGCATAGATTGGGAGTAGTTCATCGGTAGCGAAGAAAGCGAGAGAAATCGCCGAATTCTAAAAAAATATGGCTCTTTAAAAGTAGGGAATATAGAGGTTGGACGAGATTGCCATGACGGAAATGACATGAAAGAAGTACCCGGGGGGGGGGGGGGGTTTCAGTTATTGCAATTGCTTAAACAGCTGACTACATCAAGTTATAACTGTACAGAACTTTCATTGTCGCTATGGGTCATGACAAGTTGTTTGAACTTCCTACATGGGTTCACTTGTGATCGGTGGAGCCTCTAAAATGTCGGTAGAACCCGTCCAAGGATACACACGGGCCAATCTTCGAGCCTTTACAAGTTCCTAACTAGGCCATTTTCCGACCTAATAGTGCCAGATATGGTGTACGCAGGGGCCTCAAATTCACGCTGTGGGGAATCTCAGAAACCATTTTTACCGTGAACTGTGCCTTTAAGGAATCCTGTCAAACATCGTTGTTATGCTCAACGGACCTCGCATAACCTGGGCCCTATAATTATTCGTAGGTGGTGTTCGGAAACTTGCGGAATCGGTACAACAGGGATAAAAGATGTAGTGAGGAGAAAGGCCGAAAATAGTTAAACTACTTTTTGTTTGGCTGAAAAAATTCCTCATGAATAAAACACTGCACTTGCGAATCCTTTCTTAGAATTCACACTTACATATATCCTCCTTAACACTGATTCCGTAATCCCTACATTACAGCGCGGGCCATAAACAATACTTTAAAAGTGATGATCGGAATCAAATATTAAATATTTCGCAGCTTTCACGTGTGTGGCGGCTCAGCAGCACATGGGAACTGAGGATGCGTAACGGCAACCCTAAAGTCATGAAGTAGGTAGTGTCATTCTTAAGGACACTGAATTAATTTCTAACCCCGCTACAAACTAGCAGTTCTCTGGAAGCAGCTTTGTATGCAAGCTATATTCATGGGAGTCGTTAGCATGCTCTGCTGAGTTTCTTGTACGAGACAATCTGAACGTTTTTGGCTCCATATCGTGTTATATGCTTACAGCTCGGTAACCCTAAAACAGTTATTTCACCGTAGCTTCCTCTAATATTACGGTTCTTGTCCACCTCATTTTTTAATGTTTTCTAGGCTCGCAAGCGACTATGGCGATGAAATCGCTTGGGTTAGTCACTAAAGGTGTATTTGGTCGAACGCCAAAGGTAACGGTTCCATGGACCTGTCACATTTCGACGAATTCTAGTAAGGGTTTTTAGCCAGCATTAACGAACGGAGTTCTCCAGCAGAAACGTACCAATTACAAGTACGTTGGTATGGTAGCAGAGACCGATGGAACGTTCGCCGGGGACCTCAACTATGGACTTCATACCTTGTTCTTTACAGAGTTGTTCCGAGGTATCACTTATTGCAAGCGGTTACTTATGCTATATAGTAGCACAGCCAAATTTCAATTCTAAGAGTCTTAATGTTTAATACCTTTGCCGTACAGTTTGTCATGGCTGAACCGCTTTATTGGTCAACGTTTCGACTGAATCGTCGTCTTCAGGACCTGGAAATAGTTCGAAGCTCTTGATCTATGACTTACACGACCAAGCGCCCAAACGCGCTA